GGGGGGAGGGAGGGGAAGTAGAAAATAAAATAAAAACGATTGTAATTATTCAAATTTCTGAATGACTTCTCAGGAGAGAAGCACACTGCTGCATTTGGGACTGATGCTATTATCACAATATAGTACAATAATATTTCAAGCATCTAAGACATGACACCCATTTCTTTAGAGTAATTTAGGAGTGGATTGGACAAGCCCTTCACACGTACGCTGAGGAGAGGCCATCACTGGTGGGTGCTGAAAGAAATGACATAACAGGTTATTTCCATCTATAAGTTACATGGTGCAGTGGCAAGGCCACCATAATTCAGTTTGACTGATCTTTCATGCTACAAGTCTTCTTAAATCAGCTTATATGAAATACTGAGGCTACAATACATTTTTCAGAAGCTGAAAGCACCAGATAATAAAATTATAGTAGATGTAAACAGACAGTATTATATACACATAATAGGAGGAAAAAAAAGCTCATGTGAATACCACTGCTGTCGAAAAGCAAAACAAAATATTGCATTTTATATATTTACTTACTTTTTGGTAAAAGGCAGAATATATTATCATAGACAGCTGTGGTTAAAGCCAGTTTAAAAGAAGCAGAATGTCATACATGTCTACTCTGAAACTGAAATTCCATTTTAAAATCATAACTCTGCTTCTTAAAGATGCTTGGGTTACAAAATATCATTGTGCACTGAGTATTTCCCACTCAGTTTGATTTGAAAATTTGCATCACATATTGTAATATATGTGAGTTTTCTTTCATTTTTTCTCTCTTAAAAAATTCACGGTAGATAACATCTTTTTTGTTGTATTTCAGGAATTTGTAGTCCCAGCAGAGGTTTTTTCTTTCGTTCTTTCTAATATTAATACCTCCTCCTGTCCTTCTTATCTCTGTAAGCCACAAGGAAAAGGCCATGGTGGGACAGTCACCAGAACTTACTGACATCACAGTAATTGTCAGAGCTGAATAAACCGAACACAAATTCTACTTAAGAAACTTAACCAACACCAAGCTTGTATGTGAATAATACATTTTTATGTTATGCAAACTGAAATAAGAAATTTTTTGTGATTTACTGTCAAAACAAATAAATAAATAAAACTCTCTTTTTTTCTTTTTTTTTTTTTTTCTGCTGAACTAAAGACTTTTTATCTTGTCTGGGAGATTGTAAATGAAAATAAAGCCACAGATAGAAAAAGGAGGAGTTTTAAGTGGAGAAACTTGAAGTGAGAGTACGTGCCCATAATTGCTGAAAAATGGGGCAAAAATTAAAATCTCTGCTTACAAAATATCTGATCAACCACAGGTTCATCTGGCTTTTGCAGGACACTCTGAGAAAGCCTGAGTTTCAATTTAGCATGCTGCTGATAGAACTGATTTTGTGTCAGGCATATGGCACTGCTGGAGGCTGTAGAGAGCAATTTAAGGTCAATTAGAAGTTATTTTAAGAGCTTAAGATAATATTATATGTTGGTGTCATCCTAAGTCTGGTAAAATACCAGCTTCCACAAGCAGAAACCCAGGAGGTTCTCCCTGCTGTGTTTGTCTGGATGGCCAACGGCCATTTTGCAAAGTTGCAATCTCACTTCCCTAAATGACGAGTGTAAAACCAGAACCCTACTTTAAGTCCTGTGTACGTGCAGCTGCAGTGGCAGTGAAGGTGGAGAACCTCCTTCTTCCTACTACCTGCTCTGGAAACTGCTCAACGGCCAATTGGGGGCAACCGATACAGCATGTGAGAGCCCTCCTGAGCGCATCAGTCACGCCAGATGTAACTGCTGTAAGGAAGTAAAAGAAGCATTTTCTGAAACTGGGAACCCTTTTCACAGGAAGATGGAGAATCCACTTCTTTTATTCCCCCAACTAAATATTTCTGCTTCGAAGGATAAATCCTATTACAAAGTCATGAAATCAACAATTAAAGAAGAGCCACATAAAGCAAGCAAGCCTGGGTAAGTTTTAAGGTCATGGTGACACTGAGTGTTCTGTTTACACAGAGGATTCTAACATAGCTTGTGGGCATGAGTTTAGGGCACAGATTTTTATTTTTACATATTCATGAAAACTCAAGAACTGCAATCTTAGAAATCATGTACACAAAATACTCATCACAGAAATATTTTTTTAAGAACAAGGAACAAATAATAAACTAAAAAAAATAGGAAAGGGAGGTTTCAACACGTTCTGAGAAATGCTTCTTTAAAGCCTGAATATGATCCGGTAAAGTTTCTTTTTAAAAATTTCAAATGACAGGAAGCAATACTTCCTTTTTCTTTGCAAAACTTTAAAAGTTGAACATGCTGAGCCAGCTGTTTATGTTCTCTAGTGTGAAATTTCACCCCTTCATCTTCAAAGTAAAGATAGTGAAAATGAAAAAAGATTTCCATTTCTCTTTGCCAATGCTTCCTATGTAAATTTGTGCTAAACTATAAAGAAAAAAATCACTGATGTGAATGACATAAGTAGAAGAAGTAACATCAACTTTACTGTAAGTGAATATATGTGGATCTATGATGCAGAAGCAGAGATATTACTCAAAGGAAATGTTTGAGGGGAAACCCCCCCTATTTTTCGACAAGGTTGCTTGAAAAGCTACCCAAATTCTGTTGTAGAGCTAAGCAGAAGAGAAACAGGCTGAGCCTTCTCCTGCAGAAACCTGAATTCCATGAAGGTGATCATCTTGCTAAACCTGAAAACTTGACAAAAGCACCAAGGTACGTGTTATAAAAGATACAAGGGGTAATGGCTTTAAACTTAAACAGGGGAACTTTAAGTTAGATATAAGGAAGAAGTTCTTCACAGTGAGGGTGGTGAGGCACTGGAATAGGTTGCCCAAGGAAGTTGTGAATGCTCCAACCCTGGAGGCATTTAAGGCCAGGCTGGACAGAGCCTTGGGCGACATAGTTTAGTGTGTGGTTTCCCTGCTCATGGCAGGGGGGTTGGAACTAGATGATCTTAAGGTCCTTTCCAACCCTAACTATTCTATGATTCTATGATTCAGTCGATGGGGATTCCTTTCAAGAAGTGCCTGTGTGAGTCAGAATGTTTCTGGCGTGTGTGTGTGCGTGTGTGTGTGTTCAGACTTGGCAGAGGATAAGGTTTTTAAGTTCCATTTAAATTTAGCAGTCTAACCCAAGCATACAAACACTATAGCATTACCTGGTATGCACTAAGATAGCTCACCACAAGTGTTTTCACACCATGAAGTGTAGACTGGTCCCTATACACCTGGCAGATACGTTTAAACCTTTCGTCAGGCCAACAGCATTTTTATTAGTCTGCTGACTATATGGAGCAAGCATCATCTCAGAAATGTAGCTGACAAATTACTGCTTCCAGGGAAATCATACAGCTACTTGGAAAGCAGGTTTCCCGTAGAATTCTGTGATGTACAAATGTCAGATACACGTCAAATACTGAATGCATACTTCCTCAATAATTGCAGTAATTATTGGAATGCTTTTGTCTCCAAAATTCAGATACTGAAGTTCAAACACTGTTGTAATATTGTCCCTAATATACTATGTCTTATAAAGATAAAGGGTAAAATCTTGGTTTTGTTGGCTTCAATAAGAGTTTAGTTTCTGACTTCAGTGGGGTACAGATACATTAAGAATTGCATTTGTAGGTTGTAACCGAAAAGAAGGAATTTGTGAAGTACTGCAACCCCATGGCCTAAACAAATTTGCTGCCCTTTTCTTTCCATCACTGATCACTTCAGAATATTTCAGTGCTTCCCATGCTCTGTTATCTTTAGAACTTCGTGAACCTTGTTTAAGCAGTTACTATCTTTGGGACCAAGATGCCTCTTTGACCAGAACTGCTTCTACAAGCTCTTACTAATTGTGAACACAAGGTAGAAATGGAATAGAGGACCAAATACTGTTTCTAGAACCCATGAAAAAGTGGCCAAGAACATTTGCACTGATGCATCAGGGTAATTAGGCAATGTTTACAGCTCATATGTCCAAATACCATGCTCATCCAAATGATAGGGTGTACTCAGAATCTGGAAGGCTTTCCAGCCCATGCCTGTGGACTTCTTTCTTCATTTTCTTCTTCCTCGCTCTTCTTCTTCTTTTGCTGCTGGCAGAAGCCTTAATTAAATGGTTTTACAGTTCACTCAGGAATATGAGACATTGCAATGACAAACAAAGGTAAAACAGTGCTGAGAAAACCTTTTTTCCATTTCTCCGTTCCACATATGTAAAGCCATGTAAGTTTGCATCTAAAAAGAGGAAGTACAGCCTCCATGCCACTTGTATGCAGGCAGTGGTGGGTGTCTGATTACCTCAGGTGTCTCATTCAAAGTACATGGCCATCAATGCATTCTCATAATCTGTGAAAAGGCACTTCTAGAGACAGATAGTATAGCAATAAATAATTCTCTGAAGATTTTCCACCTTTTAACAGACTATCCCTTCTCAGCCAACTGCCTTTTACCATGTTATTCTCAGCTGGGTGCCTGATTGACAAGGATTCTACCATTCTTGTGGTATGGAAGAGAAACTGGTAGATTTTTGCCAATCTTTATATATGGATTAGAGAGAGGTAATGTTTTTTAAAAATGAAAATAAAAGGTAATTACTCTTTTTTGAATAATGAGATAATAGTTTGAGATTTATGACTTAAATGATTTACTGAGATTTTATGATTTCCATTCTTCACACAGAGATACTGACTAACATAAGTAGGAAAAAAAAAAAAAGAAACACTGCAGATGGCCAGTGTGGTGATAGTGGAAATGCCTCTGACCTGTTAATTAGCTTTTTCTCATCTTTAGAAAGCAGCAAAGCTGAACAAATCTTGGTTTCCGTCTATTGCAGCAACTCGTTGCTGCAACCAAGTGTTGGGGATCTATGATGTTACTGGGTTGATGCAGTTTCTGAAGGAAAACCAGAAATCCACACCAAGTTTCCAAACCCAGTGAAGAACTTCTCCACATTCCATGCAGTTGCAGGTGACATAGGTTGTCTGAAGTCATCAGGGTTTTTCTTTTGCTATGACCAAATTAATTCCTACAACTACAGGAACCCACTCTTCCCAGACTTAGAAGTCCACAGTTCAGAGAACTACACTTTTTGTACTTTCATAACTAAAAACATCTGTAAGAGAGTGAGCTCTTGTTTTCTCTGACTCCAGAATCCCCCTACTTTACTGGTCTATGCTCATTTCTTGAATTTCAGTTCTCCAGCATTTGTACCTGTCAAAACCTGTTTGTCTCTTTCTAGTTAAAAATTTCATTCCTATAAGCAATGACTACAGCTAAGAGACATGCGGCACTTCTTATTAAATTAATAAAAAGTACTCCTTTTAGTTTTATGCAAAACCAAGGTCATTACTGGTTTAAATTCCTTCCCGAAGTGACTGGAATTTCTCTTCATCTAAAATTCAAGTGCCTACAGATTTTTCCAAGGGAACCCAAACTTTGTGAATCAGGCAACAGAATGGCAAGCTTCCACAAGGAAGGAGGAATCATATCCAAGAAATGCTCAGTCTGTGAAAAGTTGTTCAAACCAACTAACCCCAGATGAGTTGCCTATTGATACTTCCAGTGTACTGTGTTTTTCCCTTGCATAAGAAATGGTACTAAATATTATTCTTAAAGCAGCTGATAAAAATTGACTTCACCTTCAGGCTTGGAACTTAAGTCCTGGTCCTAGCATGATAAAATTAATCTCTTACTCCATTTCTGGTCTGTTAAAAATCAAAGTACTGTTGAGGTGTGCATTCAGGGTTAATTTATACAAAACAAAAAAAAGGGGTTTTCCAAAACTGTAATTGTATGAGTAATGTTGGCTGTTCTTTTTTACTTTCTTCATTGTTCAGAATGAAGAAAGTATTTGAAATTAGAGTAAATATATTTGAATATTTGAAATCAAAGTAAAATATATGCAACTTGATATATTTGTTGAAGAATATGTTTCGTAAATGGAGCACAATGTCTCAGAATAACATAACGTTGTGGTAAACAAACCAGGCTACATGTGCTATTACCCTGTAAGACTATCACTTAAACCATATTGCTACAACTTTGTCTTCAGGCTATAGGCTTCTCATGGTAACACAGCCTCAGACCAACTACATTCAAAACCAAATCTCTGCAAGAATATTTTTAAGTTTAAATAGGTGACTGACTTCATTCCCTTATGGATTTTACCATACTGCATGGTATCAATTTGCTTAATTAGTAGCGCAACACAAAACACTAAAGAGAAAAATCTCTGCTCTTATGGAATTTTAAACAGGGGAAAAAGTACAACTCTGCAGGAAAAGTGTCAGAAAAAATGAAACCAAATGCTTCTGAAGTAAGTAAGTCACTGAGAAAATTAGCTTCTTTAGTAATGTGATCTAATCAAAGGCTTTGTGAAACAGTCCTAAGAAATAATGGTAACAGATTACATAAGTTGCAGCAGCTTCATAAATACACAATATGCACAATTCTTTAAAACCACTTACTGTTTCTTAAGCAGCGTGTCTCCTGAAGAAGCAGTGAAATGGGGAGAGTCTTTTGACAGACTTCTTTCTGAGAAAGGTTAGTAGTTTTTCCCTCTCTGTGCATACTGTTGGGATGGAAAAATGATGGAAAATCATAAAATCCAATTGTACACTTAAATAGACCTGGAAGCTACCTAAACTAGGTAGGATAGGTAACATGTAGCAGCGTGCATTTCTGCTTTCCTGTGCTTAGGCTATAGCATGCTGTCAACTACTGAAAATAGTTGAAAACAGCTTTTAAGTTTTGTATTTTATTGAAAAAAATAATGTAACAGACGGCATGGAGTTCCTTCAATAAACAGTAGAATTTTATTTGAGTATTGTTCAAATATTCCTGGCCATAAGACCAAACCTTAAAAATGAAAACATGTTCTATGTATTTAAGAACAGACTTTGTCACTTCTGGTACAGTTTGTTTGTAAAGCAGTGATAGGATCAAAGCTGGCCGTCACTTGAAAGAGCCTGTTGCTTATGTAATTATCAAATGCACATACGCCCCTGCAGCTACAATGCAGGACATTATGTGCTTTTCAGATCTGCCCCTTGAACAGCTGACATCAATACGATTGCATTACTTCCACAGATTAAGCATACTTGGAAAGAAAATGTCTTCGGCATAATAAAAATAAGATACCGTCAAGATGTTAAACGCCATTCATTTTAAATTGTTACTGGAGAACAGTGTGCTTACGAACAAAGATTCAAATAGTGTTTCAGTCAACCTAAGCTGGTATTCAGCCAGAATAAAGTCTGTCACTTCCACAAACATCCACATGTTTTGATTATTTCTATTTCTCAATTAACGAGATCTTGGTAGTGGATTTTTACAGATGCTGAGAATTCTCTAATGGAAGTTACAGTACTCAGGGTCATAATGAAAGAACTGCACTTATTTGAAAGCCTTTATGTATGTTAAAGTAATTATCTATAATGTGATGTAATTCAAAGGGAGCAGAACCTATTTGGTTGCCTTGCACAGACTGTGTGAAAAGAGTAACTGTTTGATAAGGATATACGTTTTTTTTTAATGCAATTCAACATTTGTTTCTGTAGCTGGACTGGATGCCTTTACAAAGTTTCTGAAAACTGAGTTCAGTGAGGAGAACATTGAGTTCTGGATAGCTTGTGAGGATTACAAGAAGAGCAAGACTGCACATGAACTTTTGCCAAAAGCTAAGACCATTTATGAAACATTCATACAGAAAGATGCTCCAAAAGAGGTACTGTAAAAACATTCTTCATTGTATACAGTATTTGACACAACTGCATCTGATGAAATCTGTTTTTAAGAAGTGCATGCCCAGATGCAGAGGCAACAATTGATCAGGTAGTCACTGACATAAGAAGTCTGTATCTTAAATGTCAAAGCTTTGGAAGGAAATGTGGAAGCAACTGCATAGATTGTTCTCACTGTCCCACATACTCCTTTCAATACCCCTTCCATGTTAGTCTTCTAAGTGTAGAGCAAGAGTTTAAATACTGTATTATAGGACTCAGAGATTCCTAGAGGTTTGTAAAGCCAGCATATATATACACATATACAGGGTATATTTAAGAAAAAATAGTGATGCTAAATGTTAAAACTGCAATGAGACATATTAGCTAGAATTTGTGAATTATCTGTCTTTATTTAAAGCTACCTCCAGAACAACAGACTTATTGTCCCTTTCTTTTAAATCAGTAATCATCTATTGAATTTTTACATAACTGAGGTTCAGAAGTTTTTATTTTAAATAAGCCAAAGGACTAAAAGAGATTAGAATAAACTATTAAAATTAAACATATCCTTTAAAAAATAACTGGTTTAAGCATGGACTTTTCTCGATTGATCCTTCCCCCCTTTTACTCCTCAGCTCTAATTGCGTATTCTTGGTACGTTACTGTCAGCTGGGAGTGGGGGAGGAATAAGTGGGTGACTGGCTGCGTGGTTCTGAGTTACCAGCTGGGCTTAAACCACGACACACATACACAAAAACATGTTGGTACGTCAATCCTCGTCAACAGTAAGGCCTTTTTGTACTACTATAATAGTGTAAAAAGTTTTCATATTTACAATTTCTTCATATTACTGAGGCATGTTGTAAAGAATTCAGAAATGAACAAAAGGTATACTTTTTGCCTGCTCTACAGAGGTGCTGAACAGGTTGGGAGACGATGAAGTCTCACTGAAATCACCATCAGCCTCTCCAATAGGTCTTTCAGACTTAAAATTTCCTGTAATTCTATTGAGTTCGAGATCAGATATGTTATTTGCCAATGCTCCTTTTCCCCTGTATTAATTCTTTTTTATTTGTCAGAATAGCAAAAATTACACACTAACTGCTGCTTCCCTGTAACAAGGGAGTAAAAGGTGTAATTCTTGTTTTAAGGATTGCAAAATGGTGCATAGATTATATTTAAAATTCAGATCTCCTTTTCCTAGGAAATGTCCACTTTCAAAGAGTTATGTCCCATTTTATTTCTTTCCCTGCTGCATGTCTTTGGGGTGGACCTTACATAAAAAGAGACCCCCATAGCTGTTCAAGATAGAACCTGTCATTGCCAATTGATCAGCCTATGAGCAGTTATGGTAGGGTATCAAGCACTGGTACTGTCAGCACTTACAAGATTGACATAAGTGCAGTAGGAAATGTAGGGAGGGGAAAGGGTGTGGAAGTCATACTTTAACTAATAACAACATAATTTCTTTATCTGTGCTACTTTTGATTTGGTGCATGTGTGGGTTGAGTGAGTGCTTTTGTTCTCCTTAAGCAGTTGACTGTGGGGATACTTCCTTCCTTGGGCTTAGGTGAGCAGCTGAGACCAGCCAATAGCATCTTATTTCACACCACGCAGCTCTGGAACTTGCATCTTTTCTCTGACTAACATCTTGTACAGCATAGCTCTTTTACACACACATTTTGGAGTGTACAGTTTTGTGACAGGATCATAAAGGTTTGATGAGCAGACTATTTTATCATCATTAATTTGTCCTTCAGTTCTTAGATTTATTTTTTTTAAACTAGCTTTATGGAAATGAGAGGTATATCTTAGAGAAGTAAAAAAAAAAAAAAGCATATTACAGAAGTCACTTTTTGACTGAATCAACAATTTTTAGTATGTATTCTACCTTATTTTTCAAAACATCATGTTTAGATAAGTGCCTGAAACTTTAATAAAATTCACATACTAATTAAATCTTCCCAGGATGAAGGCAATGACACGTGGAATAAATGATCATTTTGATATCCTTTTCCCATCCAGAAACCCATTTAAATAATTTTTATATTTCAATTATTAGTGTTTTCTCACCTTCCTACTACCAAGACTCTACACAGAAACCAGAAATTTTAAATATTGACTTAGTCTGAGATGAAGTTCTACATGAATCCTAAATGAGAATGAAGTTCTGTATTAGTCCAGCGTTGCAAAGCCTGACAGCTGCAACTATACAAAGATCACTATTAGAAAGTTACTTTTAGTCAAACATCAGACTTTACCTTCTATTTTGTCAGTTTTTCATTGTACCAATGACACATCTGTGAAGACTTTCTGACAGCCATTACTGAACATGAACATACTAACTATTTCTGTGGTGTAAATATCCCATTGTATCAGGGATTCAAGGTCCTCTCATCACAAAAGACTCATCAAAATACAGTATCATTGCTATGAATAATAACACAGGAAATGCATGAATGTGCATTAAAGAAATCCACTTTTTCTTATTCTCCAGGTGAATTTGGACTTTCATACCAAAGAAGTCACAAGTCAGAATATTGGACAGCCCATCATTACCACCTTTGATAGAGCACAAAACACGGTCTACAGGCTGATGGAGCAAGACAGCTACCCACGCTTCCTGAGATCCGATCCGTATTTAAATTTGGTTAAGGGGAGAAATCCCAATCGTCCTACCCTTAGGAGACGGTCACGGTCTTTCACTGTAAATGATTTTAAAGGTGTACGACCAGACTTTACTGTTTGGTAACAGGGAAACTGAACCCTCATAAATTCTAGCTACTGCTGTAACTTGTATGTATTTTACAATCCAAATCCTTAGCAGGTGTAAATGAGTGGAAAGCAAAGTTACGTGCACTTATACCAGGTCAGAGTTCTGTAGCCACTGATTAGTCTCATTTATTATAGAGAAGTAGGCAACATTTTGGCAAGACGTATGATTAAAGCTTTCATACAGTATTTTTTAAAACTCAAACAAGAGCTGTAGTCATATTTAGAAGAAAGACTTGAGTTTCCTGCATAAAAAAATGTTGTATAAGATGCCAGTTGATATTATACACTGTGTTTCTTTGGTCTGTGTTATTTAGGACAGAGTTTCATCACAGTTACAATCTATATACCTAGCCTTTGCACATATTTATGATACATGTTTCTGCAATATTTCCTACACTAAGCACAGAGTATTTGTGGTATTTTTTCATACTGCAAAACACATAGGAACTTTATTAGGTATAATGTAAAGTTACAGGGATTTTAACTACAGCCAGTGCATAAAATTCAGCTATTGCATATTTTAAGAGGAACATAAGAATACCTATTTAATTTTTTGGGTACATTTTGTACTGTTTTCTTACTATATGTGTCTGTTCTCTGTATTTAAGTTACGCTGTATATGTTGGTTTTGCCATCAAATACTTGTATTCTAGTTTTTTGCAACCAAATGAGTAGCAAGAGAGGCCTAAGAATGCTATTTTAACACAATGTGTATCATTAAGTATAAGGTCACATGGATGTGTATATGTATATATAATACTTCTACTTTTATTTGTAAATACGGTATACCAATTTCATTACTGAACTTTGCTCTAAATTTTTTATGACTCTATTTTGAAAAAGAATCTGAAAATTAACAGCTCTCAGACTCAGATAGAATAACCTTCAGTTCTACTGATCATTAGTGTGTTCTCCATGGTTATAGAGGAGGAAGGAGAAATCTTCCTTTTACTTCTTTACTCCTGAAGTCAGACATGTCGTTTTCACAGTCAGTATACACAGTTTCCTTTCAGAATTAATGCAGACATACCTTGAAGCTTGAGAACATTTCTAAAATCTTAAACATTGGTTCAGTTTAACAAGTGGCTGCGGGATTTAGTTGTAACTATGATGTGTATACTCAGTCATTTTGCATGGAATTTAAGATTTCTCCCTTTTCTTCCCCCTTTGTAAGTGGGCAAAGTGAAGAGGTGCAGTTCCTGAGGATTAAAAGTTATGTTCATTACTAATTCAAGGTATATATGAACTGCTTGATCTGAGTTTCCCTGTCTGCTTTACTTTCAATAAATCCTAAGTGATCTACTTTAAAAGTTGTCAGGATTCAGTTTATCATCAGTACATTGATGAGTAAAATGTGAAGACCTCATTTACAATTCAATACCAGCTGTAATCGTTGCCATTTCAATCCAAAGCGTTAATGTGCACAGAGGTCTGAACTCACAAGGAAACACTGCTGAGCTGCAGTGTCCTGAGAACCATCTCCAAGCTCTTGGCTTTACCTGGGGAAGAGACAGGAAAAACTTTTGTAGCTGCGAGGAGTATGATCCTTGCTGGTTTATTCCATTATCCTTCTCTAACCCCAAAATTAGGCATGTGTTAGTTCTAACTGTGTCAGAACCTGTGAAGCACAGAGATTCAGGAATAAATCAAATGTTTTTAGTAATGCTGATAATGTATTTCAGTCTCTGCATCAATATCAAATGCAGTTTTGGAGCTTGTCAGCACCATTTTTTACAAACTGTCTGCGTTCCTGTTGTCACTGTCATTCACATGAATGAGTGAATACAGTGAAAAGCAACTTTCTAACACAATTTCATGGCTAAAGTCAGTATGTTCTTCTGGATAGATTATTTATCCTTGCTCTTTGACTGTCTCTCCCTGAGTCATGAATCAGTTCTGCCAGAAATGATCCTATTTCAGATTAGGGAATCTCTAATCCTAGAATCAACTAGACTAATATGTCTGGATGCCAGATTTCTCAGATATTTAAAATACACATGTTCCTATGTTCTATATTACTAACTTTGTTAGAGAAAGAGAACAGGTTTGAGGACATCTGCAGCTAGATTCTCCCCTGGTGTGATTATATTTCTTCATACCAGCTGGGAATCTGCTTCTTTAATCTTGCCATTGGTCGAATAATTGGGGGGAAAAAAAGGTATATTTAATACTGTTCTAAAACCCAAACAAGTGACATATAGAACCCTGAGTAAGACTTTTTCTTCTTAGGAAAAAAACATCTGTTAGTCAAAAGGGTCTGTAATGATAAATTTAGGTCAGCAGGCTCCCTTTGTTTCATTTCACAGACACATGGAAAGTTTTGTTTATCTCCAGGAAGGCCTTCCTCAAAACCATCAGTCTTGTGATGCTGACAGTGCTGGTCCCTCTTAGGAGTTTTATAATGAAAATAAACAAACAAGATATTCCTGGTAGCTACTTATGCATGTATGTTTTTCAAAGATAATTATGAACTGTAGCTGAATTTACAGCATCCTAACGCCATAGGAACTGCTGTAAAAAGAAAGACAAGATAAATTCAGAGAAAGGAAAGCAAAGGGCACAAAGATAAACTAAAATGACATAATTAGCTGGCAAAGGTTTTTTTCTAGAAGAGGCTCCTTTTAGTGAGAGAAAATGAGTGCTATACTATTTAGTGCTCTACTGTAGTTCTGGAAGATGAACTAAGCACAGGTTTAGTACAAGTCTGTGGTGCTGTACCAAGATTGAGTTAAATGGGATTGATCAGACTAAGGTCTAGCCCTGCACAGGTGGATTTATAGTATGAACCATATTTATAGTTATAGGATTTATAGTATGAACCATGGAGTAGTGCCAGAGAGCATAGTCGGGCTTCTCTAGTTTTGGCAGAATCAATGCCATAATTATGTAAATCTTCTTATTTAGCTGACCTAGTACAAATAACACATACACAAACCCAACCATTTATTGGGGGTTATTTTACGTAGCAGGTTTTTAGATTTGTATGTGCCATTCAGCATTCAGTAAGAGCTCTCAAAATAATCAGCTCTCAAAATGCTCCTCTTACCAACATAATAATTCACCATACATACACACTTAACTTTACTCCTTGTATACGTGAAGTCACCATACCCAAAGTACAAGGGAAATAATCTGCTGACTTGTATAGCATAAAAGTTTGTCTCCTGCTTCAACACTTACATCTTATTAGATGCTTTAAATCAGCTGAATTATTATCTGCTCTTCTTGTTTAACTTAAGGGAGATAAAAATTCATAAACACATTATCTTCTTCAGCTTTTGGGATTTCATATTGTGCAAAAAAAACTTGATTAATTTTTGATCTAACAAGAAACAAGATGAATGAAATCTAAGATAAAGAATCTAAAAGAAACAGATAGATGTCTATCTTCCATTAAAGTAGACAATTAGTAATATGGCTCTTAGATGCCTTTGCATGCTACAGCTTACAAGAGACTCACAAAAGTCAGATCATTTTTCTCTCCTTTTTGTCCCCAGCTGCTAAGCCTGCCTTAATTAACTACTGCTTTGAATGCAGTTCCCTCTCTTTTCCATGCATACTGCCATAAGACCTCAAATGAGAGAGAAAAAAAAAAAAAAAAAGCTTGAAATCATCTTCCTCTCCTCAGCGATTCATATGCTCATGAACTTATGCCTTGCTTAGATGCCTGTCCTGGATGCTGCTCTGTAGTTTGCATTTTAGTCAAATGCCTCAATCAAATGCTCTTAAAACTCCCGTGTGGCTCTGTGCCAAAGATAAACATGTATTTCCTCTATACACCATCCAGCTTGCTTCCATTCCTACTTTTTTCTTGCAAGTGTCTTGTTGTCATCTTCCATTTTTTGTACTCTAATCATTTAGGGCTGGACTCAAAAGCTCCCTCTGGTTTTATGCTAAATCTTTTCTCTCTCCTTTCCTAAATAGCATCTGTTTGCCTAACTTCCTCATAAATCTTACAACAGGTTATCTAGACAGCAAGATTTGCAATCTAGCCTCTATCATTGCCTTCTCTATGAAACATAACTAAAATTAATTAGCATGAAATACAATCCTATGGAAGTTAGTTTAGACTTTTCAAACAGGAAAGAAGATTAAGCTAAAGCCTAACATAAGGACAACCCTGAACTGTTGTTTCTTCACCATGCAATTTGCTTGTATTTTAGAAACTCCCATTTCTTCCCAACTTCCCAGACTTTAGATTTCTGAAGTTAATGCTACTCCATATGAGCTTTCTGAGGCATAGTGTCTACCTTTCACATACTCTTGCATTGGTGCAACTAATACCTCTGTCATCATGAAGTCATAATATGACCCTGTATGTTTGTGCTATATTGGCTTCTTGCATAAAGTTTTGTGAAGGGTGATGCTATGTAAAAACCAATGTATTCATCCATAAATTGTGCTAAATAATCTGCTAGTTATTACTAAATGAGAATCTTCAACATTGTACATTTTCTTGGGAAATGTTTCCAGTTCTTCTCTAATGTAAATTTTTGTCTGTAGTGTTTGTATAGGACTTGGAAATACTGCATATGATGGGCCCAGAATGCTGTAAAACATTTTGACAGATTGTTCTTGAAATCAAAACATTTTACCTGAGGGGCATACTTTGCTTGGGTGGAAAATAACAGCTCATTTTCTTACACAAAACAACTCCGTGGCATACTGCAGACACACCAAGTTATTCATATGGAAGAAAAAACAATGCTGTGATTAAAATGTATTTGCATCCCATATGACAGGCGTTTCCATGTTACTTAGGATGCCAGCCGTGCTCAGATCATCTTGGCTTCTCCCAGCATAAGAAATACACCCAAGTCTCTGTGTGCCTGAATTGCTTGGACCAGCAGAACGTTAACTTTTTTTCTGCTGAGCTTACACTATACAAAAAACATTATCCAAGCAAACCTGGGTGTGGAATGGATTTAACAGAGGCCAAGTGCTGAAGGGTTTAATATACTGAACGTGATCCAGGGGAAACACTAGCACACCAGATCAGCTATTGGAGAGCATGACGTTTTCTCACATTGCAATCAGGTGAGTACAAGGCAATCGTTTTAGGAACATATATAAATGAAAGTGATTTCTTAGGTTAATACACCAAAAGTTTGAAAATAAAGCATTTTATACTGTCTATTGACATTAATATCTAACACTAATGGGGATTAGAGGAACAAAAAAAGTCATGCCTTATTCTTCTAAACAGCCAATATCTTTTCATACATGAAGGTAACTCAGTGAAACTAATGCCTGAAAATAGCTAAAGAATAAAAGATGAGTATCAGTAAAAAGCCAAGCAGTAAGTTTAAAAGTTGAGGAGATGCAAGTATTTAATAGATCGCTAGTCCTTAGCAAGTAATATTGGCAAAGGAAGAAACGTTCAATCAACAGATCCACATTCCATTACCTACAGTTCTAACTCACCTATGGCCTGTCAAAGACAGGAGGATTGAAACAAAAATCCATAGCACAGTCCTCAGAGTTACAGAAATGTTAAGTCAGAGGCCTTATAGATAAATTTTTTAAAATACACTGAAATTAGCTGAGCAGATAAGGGTCTAAGCTAGTTTGCAAGTCCAGTCTGAGTTATCAGTGAACTGAGGCTGCAGACATCAGCACTGTCAGCTGGATCCAGATTTCCAGAAAGTTTACGAATAATTCTGCATGTACATATTCATATTTCTTTTTATTTGTTTGATACTGTTTGTTACGGACAGCTAATACATTTGCACAAGCAGCTGATACATTTGTTTCAATACTAAGATGACTTTTGCTCCTTATGAAATTTCAGTAAAATAATAATTTCTGGAAAGAAACTCTAATAAATTTCAAGCATGGGAAGTATATGACAATACTACCATCTACTTTTTATGGGAAGAGATGCCTGGCTTTGGTTAGTGAACTTGTGGTATTTATATTAAGTTAATAATAACAACCCTATTACCTGCTGTGTACCTGGAATACAATTGGCTTACGTACACTAAACAGTCACTGAACAGCATGTTACACAATGGTGAAAATCCCTCATAGCTTCTTTGTGGTTTTGTGAATTGTGATCAATACCCCATAAATTGCAAGAGCAATTAGATTGCATCATTTAGTTATTCTGTGTGCTACTCAGAACACTCATGGTTTTTAACATCTTTTTGTGACTACAGACCTGACTTAAAAGTATCTGTCAGCACTGGAAATCTTCAAGAGATGCTTATGTCTGTTTCATTCAGATATCAGGCAATTAGAAATATATATATATATAAATACATCAGTTGTACTGGTTGGAACTTTTTTTTTTTTTAAATATATAATCAGGTGATTATAGATAGAGTAGGATCAGATTCTGCAGCCATCCCTCTCATAAATAGTCTCACAGAAGTTAATGGGACTCTTGTATAACAAGAATGTTGTCACTTTTTCAAAAATTTAAAATAAGTCAATTTATAACCATAGTTCTAAGGTGAGTGGATATTATAATCATTGGGACTAGACGCAGGGTAAGCATCAGGAAATGAATGGAACCATCCAAGAATGATGTGTTGCTCATAACTTTGTCATCTCTGTGCTTATAGCTGCGTTGACTTTACTGGCATTACACCAAGGAATCTGGAGGAAACTTGCATCAGACCTTTATCTAGAATTTGGTCTCTTGGCTAAAATTCAACACCTATTTTGAACTGCTCCTAAGTCTTGGCCACTTTTCAGTGAGAACCTAGGGCACTGAAAAGCGAAGTCCCTTTTTGTGTTTTTGCAAATAACAAGACGTAGTAATACATGCAAATGTCTGCATGGGTTTGCAGAAGAATCTCCTGGTTGCTACATGAGAAAGGTCGACCAGCAATCACAAAACATAACATTAGGGGAAAAAATTACTACATCAACATTAACTGAGAAAGAGACAACCTCACTGTAAGAAAATTCAAGTTGTAGCTATTTACCATCTACCAGGCCAGAAACTCTACAAATAAATATTGCTTGGATTATATAACATGTTTTTCCTTTTTACCAAAGCTCAAATGTAAGACTGAATCAGTCACAAAGGGTTTAAGTTACATGCAGATGTTGAGGGTTTTCTCTCCACCTTTAAGATTCTGAAATTAGTCTTAATAGCACAATGCATGGAAAGCTTCTGGTCCTGACTGGCAGTGTTACAGTCTGCCGTACATACTCAGTGGAAATAAGAGAAAATAACTGATTAAGGAAGATAAGCACTACAGAGAATCAGGATGATAGTTCATATTTTTCTCCTGTTATGACTTTCAGAAGGAGGTAAAAGGTGCAAAGGTAAGAAATTGCAGAAAGGATTTGTATTTTGCTGCCAGGAATCTTTTTTAGTATTTTGTAAGAGTGAAAGGGGTACCTTGGGTCATCATTTCTAGTTTCTTATTATCAAAGGTAATAATTTAAAATAATTTATTTCATAAATATATGAAGCTCTATCTTTGAAGTACAGAGGAGAGGCCAAAAATTCTACTGGGAGGCTTAAAAACACTTTTTCTGAAGCCTTCTTGATTTTTAGTCTAAATTTATTCACTAGCTGTTTATATACATTTTTTCTTTTGCCAATATGATCCTTAAGCTAAAGTAATTCTTTTTTCTCTCCAGGTTAGCTCTGTGCATTGACAGAGAGTAATCATAGCTCCTCATTGCTTTCATTTTACAGGCAAGCTCAAGTCATTTATACTACTCCTGTAAGACAGTTCAGTTCTCCTGATCATCACAGTAACACACCTTTCTATATCTGTTCCCATCTTATTTCAACTTTCTGAAGCACTATTAACCAGATTCACTATTTTTTGTCCCATGTGAAGTTCATCAAATAGTTTGGCTTGTAACTTCTTTACAGATTCACAAAAGGTGTGGATAAGGAATAACTCCTTGACATTGCTAAGGTCAAAACGTGGTATGTGGTGCTTGGGTTTTTCTTTTTTACCTTAGAAGACTGACAAAAACAGGATTCGAGATGTGGCCTCACCAGTGCTGAGTACAGGGGGATCATCACTCTGCACTCCTGCTGGCCACACTATTTCTAATATAAGGCCAAGGATGCCCTTGGCCTTCTTGGCTACCTGGGCACAAGCTGGCTTATGTTCAGCAGCTGTCAATCAGCACCCACAGGTCCTTTACCAGCCACTCTTCCCCAAGCCTGGGATGTTGCATGGGGTTGTTGCGACCCAAGTGCAGGATGAGGCACTTTGCTTTGTTCAGCCTCATCCAATTGGCCTTAGTCCATTGATCCAGCCTGTCCAGATTGTTCTGTAGAGCCTTGCTACATTCAAGCATATCAACACTCCTGCCTAACTTGGTGTCATCTGTAAACTTATTGAGGATGTGCTCGATCTCCTTATCCAGATCATTGAGAAATATATTAAACAGAAATGGCCCCAATACTGAGCCCTGGGGAACACCACTTGTGACTGGCTGCCAACTGGATTGAGCTCCATTCATCACCACTCTTTGGACCTGGCCATCCAGGCAATTTTTTACTCAGCAGAGTACCCACATCCAAGCTGCGAGCAGCCAGTTTCCCAAGGAGAATGCTGTGGGAGACAGTGTTAAAGCCTTTACTAAAGTCTAGGTAGACAACATGCACAGCCATTCCCTCATCCACTAACCAGGACACCTTGTCATAGAAGGAGATCAGGTCAGTCAAGCAAGATCTGCCTTTCATAAACCCATGCTGACTGGGCCTGATCACCTGGTTGTCCTGTACATGCCACATGATGATCTGCTCCATAACCTTCCCTGGTCAGACTGACAGGCCTGTAGTTCCCTGGATACTCCTTCCAGCCCTTCTTGTACATGGGCGCCACATTTGCTAATGTCCAGTCAACTGGGACCTCTCCAGTTAACCAGAGCTGCTGATAAATGATTGAAAGTAGCTCAGTGAGTACTTCCACAGACACCTCAGTACCCTTGGGTGGATCCCATTGGGCTCCATAGACTTGTGTATGTCCGAGTGGTGGTCACTGACCATTTGCCCTAGGATTATGGGAGCTTCATTCTGTTCCCTGTCCCTGTCTTCCAGCTTAGGGGGCTGGGTACCTGGAGAACAACTGGTCTTATCATTACAGTCTGAGTCAAAGAAGGCATTAACCACCTCAGCCTTACCTCATCCTTGGTTACTATGTTTCCCGCTGCATCCAATAAAGGATGGAAATTCTCCTTAGCTGTCCTTTCATTGCTAATGTATTCATACAAACAAGACCTAGGCATGAGGTAGAAAAGAATAACATCGCATGAGTTTGCATGTCTGAAACCAGGAAGACCAACTAAGAAGAACCTTTCAGTACGGAATGAACAATCTGCATGAAAATTAAGTTGTGAGGTTTTTCAAACGGAAACAAGGTCTAGTCAAAAAATAAGATTTCTGTTTCAATCAGAAGTCCTGGAATTTGTTTTGATTTTGCACTCAAACAAAACAAAACGTTTCCAGATTTTCCATTTTCCTTTTTTTTACCACCCAATGAAAGAGAAGATGCACACAAATCATTCCAGAGCTGTCAAGATGTCAAGTAACTATTAAATTCACATAGAATGTAAATTCAATTTCAAATCTCCCTACCTACCATAACCTATGTAAGATACATAACCGGAGGATTAGAAAGTTTTTCTCTCTCTTTGACAAATACATCTCTACTGTTTGTATAAAATGGAATAGTTTCAACAAGAGCAACATGAGATACTATTTATTACCTACCTCTCCAGGTATTCTTGCGGATATTCTAGAGTTGCCATGCCTCCTTGTATCCTTATACATAAACCTGCATCTAAAAAGAGGGGGGAAAAAATAACAAATTACTTACACTGCTCTGGCCTTGCACTTTGAACTGCTTGTTTTATTTGAAGATCTTTTACAAGTGCAAAATGCCTTCTTTCTATTTAAACTTCTATATTGAGAAGAATAAATATTCATTAATTTTACTAAAATAAAATAAAATCTACTAACTCTGTTCTAAGTAGATAACAGGGTATCAGCTCATTGAAATTCTTCATTTTCTATTACCTGTTATTAGAGGTTACAAGAAGAACTGATTAACACCTGAAGTTTCTAGCTCAAAAATCTTGGCTGAGGACATTTGCAAGAAAAATTTTCTTTAAAAAAACCCTATTAAAAAAATTCAGTTACAAACCACTGAACCAAAGTTCATTGAAGAAGTACATATGTGTCTTGTTTTAAGTCACATGAAAAATATGAGCTAGACAACCAAAAAGATTTATTCCTGGTGTTTTGGGGTTTTTTTTGTTTGTTTGGTTGGGTTTTTTTGTGGGTTTTGTTTGTTTGTTTTATTTTGTTTTTAAATTGTAAGCATTATTACTACCTCCTGGATGAATAATCAAGTTGCCAGTGTCAAATAACGCATTTTATGAGTCTGTATGACTCTCTACACTCTAAAAAAAATATGTTCCACTTTTTGTTGATTTCTATTATTCATTGCATAGGGTAACAGGAATTATTCACTCTGCTCCCTCAAAGAGATAGCCAAATAATAGATTAGCTGCCGCAGACTGTGCAGGCAAAAGATCCCAATGTTATTTTCAAGGATAGATGTTGTTTTCACAGGTCAAACGCTGGGGAAACCATGGCCTGGTCTGAGTCTGTGGATACAATACTAGCTAATAAAGGTAAGAAGTGAAAAATACTTTTTTTAAAACATTCATAAACCCAGTTCACAAACATTACCATCAGGTTTTCACACTGCTTTCCATTTGGGCTCTCCATGTGCTTCGAACCACACCAGTGCTCTAGGGGCATGCAAGCTGCCATGCTGAAAGGCAGAGGGGGCATGTTTCTCCAAGCTGCAACCACAATATACCTCTGGTCAGTGCTTAAGGGACATTTAAGAAGGCAGAAGTGCTCTGAAAGAGTTTCGGTTTAAGGTAACTTGTTAAACTCCTCATGCAATGCTTCTCTTTCTCTCTTTTTTTTTTTTGTTTTTTAATTAAAAAAGCCCTAAAACCCACCAAACCAAACCCAAAACCTTTTATTAGGTATTCCTGTTACAATGAAATATATATGCTGTGCACTGGATTTCAATCAAACAAAAAGTGATAAATTCCAATTTATCCAAAGTCACTTCTCTACTAGATCCCATTCCTATCGACCTGAAACCTCAAACCACATGTAACTTTAAAATTTTCTTGCCCCTGCCCCATTTTCTACAGTAACTTCGTAGCCTGGCCCCTGGGGTGCATTCACACTGTATCTGAACAGTATTAACTTAATTTGGGTGCTGTCAGCTTTCTTCTCTAAAAGCTTGTAATTTGGATTAAGTTTAAACCAATTTCGTCCAAACAAACCTGTCTTTGTTTCATTTTTTTCTCTTAAAAGTGTAAAAAATGCTGAATAAAGAAATAACAAAGTCCATATCTTCGTCCAAGTCATTATTTAGAAGAGGATGGAAGGGCTATTTAGGCAGGATAACCTCAGCTCTGAGGAGCACACTACTGCAATATGACTTAGTTTTCTGATTGCTTCTTAGAGCAGAAGTGAGCCTCAAATCACTGATTTCTTAGTCAGTAAAAAGCCTCTTGAAGACCGAAATGTCCAGGATCCCGTTTTAAATAGTGTATCAGTGCCACAGAGACCAGACCGCAGCAGGGAGGTATTGGGAGCTTTCCTCAGTTGGTAACTCTCCGAAAGAATTTTTAGTCAATTTATCATCGCTATAGTTTCATCTCCTATTTACTTCTCCCACAACAGCCTCTTATGACTAATTGCTGGCTGATATGCCAAACAATGTCATACACAGAAGTTACACTATGTATAATGCACATATATATACACACACATGTATATACATACATATGATTTGCATTGATCTTTCAGTTTTCCTCTACCCATCATGTCATGCATTTTTTCTCCAGATGGCTTGGCAGCTTTTAGGACATTTTTAAAGTCAGAGTTCAGTGAGGAGAATGTGGAGTTCTGGCTGGCCTGTGAGGACTTCAAGAAAACTAAGTCCTCTGCTAAGATCGCCTCAAAAGCCCAAAAGATTTATTCTGACTTTATACAAGCTGATGCTCCAAAGGAGGTAAATAGTTTTCTGTGTGTACTTTGGGTACTGAGGGTGGGAATCAATTGGAAAGTTCAGATGCAAACTTCCAGGAATGACAGATAATACAATTCAATGTGGCTGTATTTGCATTTTCATGTCAATTATTTACCAGGTAGAAAACACTGCATGGGACTCTGTAAAGCAAAATAAGACTTTATATGGTATACACATTCTTCACAGACGGCATGGGTTTATCTCAACTTCTGAAATTTCCACCTTAAGATTTAATGAAATATATATTCAATATAATTTGTTTTCTCTAACCATTTTAATAATGCAGTAAGCACCATTTCCTCCATATTTTAGGTACCAGTGTATTGGAATGTTAATGATTGTGTTTGTTCTTTGTACAGGTAATCTGACATGATAAAAATTAAAATGCAAACTTGCAAAAAATTTCCATCACAGCATTCATTTTTATCATTACCTAAAAAATGCTTACCACGAATGAAGAAATTGCTAATTAATTATTGTTCACGTTCTACTCCCTAACAAACTATTATACTCATGTTTTTGCCTCTGTCAGTAAGTGTGCTTTGAGTGTCCCCATGTCTTACATATGATTGAAATCCATTTTTTAATAAAAAATTCTTACAAAATACGTAAGGCCAACCTAAACTGATGCTGAGTACCTTCATCACTAAATTACTCTTTGGTAATCAGTACTTCAAAGGATTTGCCTTGGCAAAAGATGAGATAATCAGAAGGAAGCTTTTTCCCTTCTTTTTAGCAGTGATGCCATCTTTTTAAAAGCTAAATAAAATTAAGAATTCAATATGGTAGAAAGTTAAGGGATGACCTTCCTGCTTATTTGCATCAGTCAGGTTATCTGGGGGGAAATTCAAATGCAGAGTGTTTCCTGCACAAGAACAGACCTCAGCTTTCCAACCAAACTGACATTGGTTTCATGCTTCCTTTCTTCCTACAGATTAATATTGACTTCCAAACTAAAATCCACATCTCTCAGAATATCTCCGAGCCCACTCTCAGTTGCTTTGATGATGCTCAGAGGTTAGTCTATAGTCTCATGGCAAAGGACTCTTTTCCCAGGTTTCTAAGGTCAGAAGTGTACAAGGAACTGGTAAAGAAGCAACAGAATGGAAATC